CGTCTACAGAGCTAGAGTCCGTGTGCTAATAATTTGAAACTCAGATAATAGAAAGAGGTCTGGTGGAGAAGTTCCTTCACGGTCTGCTCTGCTCTCATAGCCTGGGCTTCTATCCTGCTCATCTCTTTTTCCCTGAGACCCTTCCACACACTGAGCATTCCGCTGATCATCAGGCTTCCATCTCAGGGACGCTAACACTTACAGCCTTGACTGAACTGTTTCCCCCCACCTCGCTCCCTCAAGTAGAGTTAAGGAGAGCATTAAAAAGAAGTGACTGTTTGAAGCCTGTCTTCTAAGCTTGCTCTTGGACACAGGACTGTAAGTAAGCTAGGCAAGTCTCTACCACTAAGACACCTGTGTCTCTTGCGGCCCTCCTGACAACGCTTCCGTTGTAGCCACTTCTGTCTTCGTATTAATAAGCATCCCCAGAATTGGGAACTGGCTCAGTCAGAAAAGTGCTCGGGAGCCCTCATAGAAGCTGGGGTGGTGGCGGTATGCTTGCTACCCCAGCACTTGGAGGATCCCTGGGGCTTGCGGGCTAGCCAGACCAGCTTCCCTGGCAAACTCCAAGTAAGAGACCCTGGCTCAACAGCACAATGTGGACAGCTCTCTACAGTTGACATACATGCACACACACTATCTCCAATTCCTATGTCCAAAACTGAAGCTCTGGTTTTTCTGACTCCATCTACTTTTCCTACAACTTGCTAAAGGCCCTTTTCAATGTTTTGAGCCAATGACCCAGGGAATCTTGTCAGTCAGTTCTACCTTTGAAATGCAAACAACAGAAAGTGAGTATGGGTACAGATGCTAACAACATCCTAACACCAGCACACAGCAGCACATACCAGCACACAGCAGCACACAGCAGCACATACCAGCACACAGCAGCACACACCAGCACACAGCAGCACACAGCAGCACACAGCAGCACACACACCAGCACACAGCAGCACACACCAGCACACAGCAGCACACAGCAGCACACACCAGCACACAGCAGCACACAGCAGCACACACCAGCACACACCAGCACACACACCAGCACACAGCAGCACACACACCAGCACATACCAGCACACACCAGCACACAGCAGCACACAGCAGCACACACCAGCACACACCAGCACACAGTAGCACACACACCAGCACACACCAGCACACACACCAGCACACACCAGCACACACACCAGCACACACCAGCACACACCAGCACACACCAGCACTGCTGTGGTCTGGACATGGCCGAAGTGGGCCTCCCACAGATCACAGGCTATAACTTAGGTCCCAGTGTGGGGCTGCTAAGAGATGGAGACCTTTGAGAGTGCTGCCAGCAGGAGCTCACCTTTGGGGAAGGAATGACTCAAGGGACCCTAGGCTCACATTCCCACCTTGTCTCGTAAAGGAGCCCAGCACTGTGCTGCCTTTCCCTGGGAGGTCACAAGGACCAAACAGACTCTAGCCCCATGGTCTCGAACACAACTTCTTGCTAAGGTGCCTAAGGCGTCTGCTCAGGGCAACAGAATGGGCTAATGTGAGCACCAAGTACCATAATTCGGTATAGTTTGCTGCAAACCCTGCAAGTTGTTCTTGTACCTTTTTTCTGTTTGGTCACCAAGTACCGTTTTCCACAAAGTAGCCACAGTGGCCCTTATGCTGACTCCTCTGCTTAGCATCACCAACTATGGCTCCTGTTGCTCAGTCAGGTTCTCACAAACAGGAAAAGTTTTTCCAGCTTCCCCCTACTCTGCTCAGCCACCCTCGTCTGGCTGCTGCTCAGCCACCAAGCACACTCCTGGCTCCAGGCTTATGTGATTTTCTCTTGCCAAGGCATTCTTCCCCACAAACACACACTGTTCCTTCTCTCTCATCAAATGCCCCTTTCTCAGTATGGTGAGCGCCAGTGAGAACAACTCCCCCATCCCTTGGCGTTCTGCTCTCCCAGTTTCTTCCATCTGTGTGTCTTCTCCTGTGTGTTTGCTGTCTGCCCCTTGTGAAACACCGTGTGGGCTCCAGGCAGGCAGACTCTTCTGTGCTGTTCAGTGCTGTGTTAGAACTACATCTGTGCCCCCAGAAAGCTCTCAAGAAGCTTCTAGCTGCAGTAAAAACAGAGAGTGGGAGACTACACACATTCCAGATAGTTCTGTAAGGTCTGGGCAGCCAAGTCTGTATATCATAAATACTTTAAGTTCAGCAGAACTATTTAAACTGACGACGTGACATTTTATAATTATTTCTTTGGGGGTGGGGGTTGCCACGATGCATGTGGAAGGGGAGGACAACCTGCAGGAGTTGGTTCTCTCCTTCTACCGTGTGGAACTGTGCACAACATCTTCATCCATGGAGGTACCACAAAAATGACCACAGTGGGTAAAAGAACACACACAGCTAGCAACCAGTTCACTCTACTGCTCGATCCAAACCTGAAAAGACCACACCGTCATATTTCGCCAGGACTCTACATCAGCCCTTGCTCTGTTCTTAGCTCACTACAGCCCAGCTGTGCAGACCAGTTTGTGTCAACTGACATCGACCTAAACATACGGGGTGGAGGGGTGGGGTCAAATAAGTAATTGCCTACATCAGATTGAGCTGTAGGTAAGTCTGTGGGGGCATTTATTTGATTAATTATTAATTTTGGAGAGCCCAGCCCATGGTGGGTGGTGCCATGCCTGGGCTAGTGGTCCTGGGCTCTATAAGAAAGCAGGCTGAGCAAGCCAGTAAGTAGCGCTCTCCTGTGACTTCCGTGCTGCAGAGTTCCTGCCCTGACATGATGCATGTAATCATAACATGTGAACGAACAAAGCCTTTCTGCCCCTCGTTTCTTCTGTTAAAGCAACAGAGAGCAAACTATGACACCACCTCCACATAACAAGGAGCGACCTTTTTAGTTTGTTTGTTTGAAATTGGGTCTCATGACACCTGGGCTGCATCAGGAGTGACCTTCTCCTACTTCTGGGATGACAGCTAGTAAGTGACCTCATGGAGTGTGAGTCAGGCCTTACCCTGCAGGACCAGACTCCGCCCACTTCTCCACAGCCCTCAGCATCACTGCTCTTCTTCACCTACAACCACAACCCAACCACGGTCTCCTTTCTCGTTCATCAAACATTCTGTTGTCATGCTTCCCACATGCAAATGGTAAGGGTTTTGTGACTCCGCACTCTCCCAAATGTCCCCATTTCAGAGCAGGCTCCTTGAGTCCATGAGCAGTCCCTTCACTGGGACCCATTAGGTCACCCTGTGTTAAGGATCAGAGTGGAGGGCCCACTTGTATCTAGAACTTCGTTGCTTTTTGCTTCCTCCTGTCTGACTCCACAGCGGCAGTTCGGGTTCTGAGAGGGCAGGCTCTTGCCCTGATTTCTTCTTCGCTGGGAACCCAGCTCCCTGTGCAGCACACACGCAATCAGTCTGTTCGGACAGATGGACTGAGGGTGACTATTGCACTGACAGATGTCTACAAAGCTGAGTCACAGACATTGGAAAAGGAGAGACGTTCCTTCTAGGTTTACAAGTCCATGACAGTCTTCAATCATGTTTCCATTTGGTCACCACCAAAGACTTGGTCAAGACAACTCCCAAGGGCAGGAGACCTGCCATCAGCAAGCTGTAACCCTGGCACACCACATTAAACCAACATCAGCTACGGTCTCAGTTCTGAAAGGCGGGAGGGAAGAAGGCAGAAGCAAAACAAGCGTAGCATGGGGAGCCAAGAGGGGGGAGGCTTAGCGACGTCCAGTGGCGGTAGGCGAGGGGCGGAGCTTCACCGCAGATAATCTCCAACATGAATAATCCACACCGGGTAATAGAATATTGGCCATAATTACATTCATCCTACTGACCTTGTTCTAAATTATTATGGATTATTACTACGCGAGTTATTTTGTTCCACACCAGAGGTGGCTGTATTCTGCTATCAGATGACACGACCTCTAATTCAATAATGTCTGTAATGTACTGGTATCCTCAGATAAAAGCTGTCTATAATGTCTGAACAAAGGTGAATTAGTTAGCCAATTCACACACGCAATTAACTCTCTTAATACCTGTGAGACCGTGGAGCCCCTCTGAATTTCCTATTAAATACTGCATATGGAGGTCTCCCCTCCATCTGTAGTTATCTTGTGTGGACTTCATGATAACAATATTAGTACTTTATTGCCCCCATCAAAAATCTTGCATTAGTTATCATGAGAGACCTCATTCCAGAAAGCAGTACCTCTTTTTTTCTGAGAAAAGGGTATTAAGTTCAAATGTTATACCTATTAGTAAAATAAAGTTTTGTATTCCTAATATAAAAGCAAGGATGCCTTCATGAAATATGGAAAATAATTTAAATTTTCTTCATTATTTTAAGAACAGTTGTTTACATACCAAAAGGCATTATACGTTATGTGACTTTATATTTGCATGCTGTCGTCACCTAAATAAAGGAATATTTATTTAAATTCAAGTATTAACAGTAAAAACCAAATCAACATAGAGCCTTCTACCACCGGTTCCCTAGGAGGTGGCTGAGGGCAGAGCCCGTGCTCGGCTTTGTACTCGAGTGAGGTGCCAATGGCTGTGTTCACGGGGCTCAGATCAGAAAAGCGAGGCAATGTCGAATGTTAAGCAAACACCCTTGCCTTCCCTGTAAAGGAAGCAATTAATTAATTCTGCAGGGGATGCTTTTTAGTCCTCTAACGTAAGTGCAGCTTTTTAGTGCAGACAAGGGAACAGAACTCAGTCTCTAAATAAGCCCAGCTCGCTCAGCAGGCGTTCACATCAAAGTTCCCATCGTGTTGGGGAATTCCAGAGCAAAGGGCACGCGTTAGGACTGTCCCACGTTCAGGTGGAGCTGGCTGGTCACCTGGGTCTTCCTCTTCACTCAAAACTCACAGCAAGGAGGTTGAGCAGGAGTGGGGAGACAGGTCCCCCATCTCCAGGCTTATGAACCCATACCAGAGCACAGGGCAGGTGACGCTCCACCCAGGCCACAGTGGGACGGGCCAACCCACCTTCAGCATGCTGCAGCACAAGGAACACGGACTCCTCCGAGATGATGTACTTGTGCAGACACACCATGTTGGGCACGCAGCGGGGGATGATGGTCTTCCTGTGCCTGCTGCACTCGCTGCTCTTCCTCAGACCCTGACAGAGAACAAAAAGGTCAGTTGTACCGCGGTTGCCTTTGGAGCCTGCTGTGCTCAGTGTTTATCAACCACGCTAATCTATCCGAGTTACTCGGGCTTCAGAGAAACCACTCATCTGCTGCTCTGTGCCCCTCAGTCCCCAGAGGCTCTGCTGATGGCATCTGGCGTGAATCCAGACAACAGAAGATGCCACAAAGCTGCCATTAAAATCAATTACGTGGGTCAGTGTTTTTATTAGCGATGCTCTCAAACTAAGTCATCAGGATGACATACAGTTATTTCTCTGCGACCTCTAAGTTTGATTTTCCTTACGTACGTCTTTAAGGCAGCAACCAGTTCTAGTCACATTCTCCATAAAACAGATGTGTCCTGGATGAAGCAGCAACTTTTAAATTCTATTCTAAACACAAGCGACTAATGTCTACAAGGATGGGAGATTTTTCTGGTGTTACACCCTAGTTTTAAAACCTGGGTAAACACCATTGGGTGTGGTGGCATGGAATGTTCACAAAAAGAGGCAGGCTTCACACATGTCAATGTGACCATCTGTCATGCCTGTCCAGCAAAAAAGGGGGATGCCCAAGACAAGCAGCCTCCCTTTTGGGTGCTAGGGGAATGTTCAGTCGGGACATATTTTGAATACATACTATCACAACCCATTCCAAAAACAATTTCGAAAGTTACTCATTTAACTACATACTGAGTTCTGGCCAAGGAACAAGCCAAGGACAGTTACCCCTTCCCACAACCCAAGGAGACCCAGTGCGACCCTCACGAGTCCCAAGGAACACATCTGAACACTCCTGGTCCTCAGATGCATTCACATCACACATTTTTTAACATAAAACTTCCCAAATAGAAACTATAGCATGTTCATCAACTATGTAAGACAGAAATATAGATCACCATCAACATAAAACACTCAAATGCCATGAGAAAACATTACTTTTTCTTTGAAAATCATGGTTTATATAAGTTTTTTAAAAAATCTTTTTCTTTTCTCTCTCTCTTTCTCTCTCTCTCTCTCTCTCTCTCTCTCTCTTTCTTTCTTTCAAGACAGGGTCTCACTGTATAACCCTGGCTGTCCTGGAACTCACTCTGTAGACCAGGCTGGCCTCAAACTCACAGAGCTCCGCCTGCCTCTGCTTCCCAAGTGCTGGGATTAAAGGCGCGTGACACCACCGCCTGGCTGAAAGTCATTTTTTAAATTCACTAAATATGTGCGTTGTACTTACTTTTAAAATGAACGTCTGTTCTGTCCTTGTGTCCATTACAAGTAAAACCTGCATAGAGCACAGAGCGGTTGTAACAAAACATAATAAAGCATCGACTCTTTGAGAAGCTAAGAGTTCCCCCAAAAATTCTAAGTTCTGAATAGACTTTTTAAAAATCTTAACTCATAGGACCCGAACAGCCAGGTCCAAAATAAATTTTATTACAATTTCCTTTTCTAAAAATGCTATAGCACAGAAACATTACCTTTCCTGGATTTATCTTTAAAATATACTCCTTGAAAGTCCAGGCCATCACTAGGCACGGTGCACACAACCGGCGGCAGATGGAAGGCCAGAACAAGGCTAGCTGGCAGTTCTAGGTCAGCCTTGAAAGCAGGGGAAACCCCAAACCAAGGTGGAGTAGTAGGTTAGGGAGCAGACAGTCACAGGTTTTCTCACATGGTAAATAGGATGTAATTTATTAAAACTGATGAAGTTCAACTTCTAAAATCTCTTAGCAACCCTCTGTAACATGATCTCAATAACTGAGACTTGAGCGCCATCTCAGGCGTCCTTTGGGTATTGCTTCTACACTCTGGACAGGAGCTTAGCTCCCCAGTCCAAGTCAGCAGCAAGTCCTGCATCCTGCTGACTCTATCCTCAACCTTTGCCCTGCCCTGTCTCCTTCCACTAAAGCCCCCAATGGAACCAGAACCAGCTCTGCCAAGCTGGCAGCAAAGGCCTCCCGAGAAACCCCCTGCTCCCCTCTGCACAGCTGTGGTCAATTCTCAAAACACTTTCTTTGTAAGTGCAGTTCAGCTGTATCCTGTCAGCAATCTGAAAGAAGAGACCCAACTCCATAAAGACCTCAGGACCATCTCACACACTGCCCCCTCGAATGACCATCCCTGCCACCCTGGGACAAGAAAACGGGGACAAATCCTACCACAATCGTGGTTTATTTCTGCTAAATACTACGGCAGAGATAGCCACAAAGGCCAATTAGCAAATATCCGAGGTCCATGAGAGTCCACTACCACCTTTGCAGGTCCACGAGAGTCCACTACCACCTTTGCAGGTCCACGAGAGTCTACTACCACCTTGGAAAACACCATTTCAGCCAGCCAACAACCACAGCCTCGAGTTGGGGAGAACTAACACTACAGAAATCAGCGAACACTGCAAATGGGACTTTTCCCCAGCAGCCCCCACTGGAAGAGGCACAGCAGGCAAAAGTTGCCTCTTCAGCTTGGAAACAAGAGTGGCGAGGAGACAGAGCTGCCGGTGAGGGGGTGAGGTCGGGTGACAAGCTCCATCTTAGACACAGGCATTACAGAAGGCTGTGACATCTTCTGCGACCACAGTGTTCCCTGAGTGCCTGAACTGCACTATTTAAGTCAACCTGTGTTACAACAATGTTTTCCACACAGACACCTCCAGATGTCCAGCAGAGTTCCCAAACTCAAGCTCCAAGTCTCTCAATTCTCCAACTACAGAATCAGCAGCCAAGTCAACAAGCCAACAAGCCTCCTGAGTCCTTTGAACCACCTCCTGCTCCTTCACCTACCTCATTTCAAGCATTTACAGTGTCGGCCATGGGTAATCAGTGTTAATCCCCTCAACAACCACTCCACACATCGCCGACATTATGGCTCTGGGTGTGAGGCTATGATGAAAGATGATAATGGCGGCCACCATATGTGAGCATCTCAGAGATGATCTTACAAAAGTGCATCCAGGGTCATGGTTGCTATCATTATTATTTCAGCTTCTCTCTGGAATGATCTCCCAGCCACTTATCAAACAACTACTCATCTTTCCACATTCAGCTCAAATGTCTCTCTCTCTCTCTCTCTCTAATACTAATGGCTCTTCCTTTGTCCTCCCATTTCATGTGATACCAACTTCAATTATAACATCTCAAACTCTTCAGTTTGGCTCTGTCTACTTGTCATCTCTTTATGAGTGTGTCACAGTGGGGTGCATCCCCAGAAATGCTCACACCCCATGCCACATTCTGTGCGTGGACTGTGCTGTGGTAGAAAGGACTTCACAGATCACCCGGGTCATCTGGGTGGGTTCTATCTAATCACATCAACTTCTGAAAGTGGAGACTACATCCTGACAAGAAGAATGGGAAGGACAGAGTGACGTGGTAGAGAGGGGCGGCCTGACCAAGATGTAGGCCCACCCACAAAGGCAAGAACCAAAGGGGCACATCTAGTGGCTCAAGAGACAGTCTGAGGGGAGCAGGCAAGGTTTAGGAGAAAGAGCAGCCCTCAGCTGACGAGCAGCAAGGGGACAGCTCATTCCAACAACTGCAGGGGCATCAGCCTGTTAGCAGAGTGCACATGGGGCAGGTCCTCCACAGACTGCAGAAGGAGAGCAATGTCACCAGCCACGTGAGGCCTGGGCCAGGCCTCTGACTTACACAACTTTAATATGTTTATGTTTACTGTCTCCAGACAGCTGAATCTGCTATGATTGGCCATGGTGGCCATAGGTAGAAATGATGTTTCCCCATAAGCACATAGCTAGCAGGTTTAAGTCTAAGGTCATAGAAGGCAGACAGCAAGGTGGGAATGGAACTTCAAAAGTGACCAGGAGCAGGGACTCCCCACAAAGGCCCAACCTCAACACAGGAGAACAACTCCGTTGGAATTTTCCTTCACGTCACACACAACACTGGGCCTCAGAGAGCTCAATCATGGGACACTCTCAACATCCGAAACAAGTGTGCATTTCTCATCAACAGATGCTGACGCTGAGGAAACGACTGTGCCATGTGAACTGACCCTGCTCCAAATAAGCTACCAAAGAAAGAAGGGAAAATCTGTACTGGAACAGTGAGCTCCGAATGAGCGCGCTCTCTCTCTTTCTCTCTCTCTCTCCTCAACTACTCTGCATTTGTGCAGACAATCTGCTGTTTACATCTGAATTCAGAACCTGTACATCTTCCAAGTCTGTACATCTGTACACACTTGGAATACTATAGCTAGGCATGAAGGGAGCAAGGAAAAAAGACATTACAAGGAAAGAGCAGCTCAGATGTGAGACAGAACGACAAGGTGGTAGGTAGCCATCCATCCACTAAACAGGAACCACCATGAAAGACTGAGGAAAAAAATCCTGGAGAAGGCATCAGGAAGCCATCGGTCACTGTCACAAACTACTCAAGACAGAAGCCAGCTGGCTCCACATCAATCAGATGAAAGGGAAATGGGGCTGACAGAGCTGAACCTTTCTGAAGTAAAGATGCCAGGAGGAAACACTGAGAGAAAGGGGACCCTCAGTTCAGACAAAGGTTTGTCTTTTGTTACTTACACAGGGAGAGACCTATCCTTTCTTAACTGCCAGCAGGGCTGCTGACACAGTCTACAGAAAAAAAAAAAAAAATGACCCTCCAAGGAATGGAAATAAACTCAGAGCCCTTGAGTCCTAAAGGTGAGAACGCAGTGGCCCCTCCCACTGGAAGGCTGGCGGACACTTGTGGGCTCTGGGGAGGCATCTGTGCTCCTAGCATCTCATCTGGGTTTACATCTACTCACAACTCTACGTCACTCCCCGGAGAGCCAATCGTGTTTGCATGAGATGGAGAACACTCTCTGGGGGAAAGGTAAGACCAGAGAAAGTCCCTGGCAGGCAGAGAGAATACACCTGCAGGGTTGGAGGTGAGGCTCCTCTCTTTCCTAGGCCCATTGTCATCAAGCAGATCCCACAAAAGGACAAATGAAGATGGACACACGTGGCGGGAACGCAGCAGGGTGAGGCAGCCTTTCTTCTCCTCTCGAGTTTGCCTGTGACTCAACAGCGTTCACATTGAGGTAATAAACACAAGAACATATGTGATTTTTTTTAAATGTGCCCTTTGACTGTCAATTTCTCCCAAACAGGTGTTGCCTAAATGATTATAAATTGGCCTCTGGGTACACCTCTTCAGCTGAGCCATACAGGGCTGGTGATAATATAATTAGACCTGAAAACATCAGGCTGGTGAGTACTCTCCATCTGTTTGGTGATAATGTTTAGTTAACAACAGTCTTTAAAAGAAGCACCTTCAACTTCCATTCTTAAAGTTATTTACAGCACCATTCTTAACACACCCCCACTCCCGCTAACAAGAGCTTTAGCCACTTGGAAATTATTAGCCATACGCTGTACTCAAAGAGAAACGGCTTCATTTAACATCTGCATCTCCACGTTTACACGCTGCAGCCTCACTCAAGTAGAGTCCTTAATGAACAGTGGTATGGCATCAATATCATAGCCGCGCACACAAAGATCATAAGGAGCCAGACATGTTTTTAATGCCAACAGTAGGCCAATCTGTAATGAAGCTGTCAGCATAAAGGACAAAATAACAGCGTCTTTAACCCTCAAACTGAATTCGTTCATTTGTAGACTCAAACGCAATTTAAAACTGCACATGGGTTTGCTCACCTTCATAAAGACAAAAATCTAATTTGTACTAATTTGATACAATTGTCTTTCCAATAAAAGGCTCCTAAAACCATCTTTTATTTCATGATAAAACAGCTACTATTACTAACATTGTCATGAAATAATTACCTTGGACGGCATATCTTATTGAAAGAACACAATTAACATATTTCTCTCTTTCATTTTTCACACTTACATATCAGCACTATATGGCCTAACAGAAAGGATTACTCCATCTTTGCCCACAGTAATACAAACCATGACTTGGGGGGGAGGCAACTTAGGTTCCTGACTAACCTCACCTGTGCTTCAATGCCACCAGGACCATGACCCTCATCCACTCTTCCTTCATAGCAGAAGGGAAAGTCCCAAGTGGTTATAGGTCTGCAGCTCTGCAAGACAGAGTAGGGAGACATGCCAGCTAACCACACCGCACCTCTAACCAGAGTAGGGAGACATGCCAGCTAACCACACCGCACCTCTGCAAAGACAGGGTGGAGCCCACGGTATCAAGGGATGATTCTATTTTAATGATATGAAGAAGACTAAGTCTGAAGAGAAGAAAAGAGATCTACACACACACATACATACACACACCAATTTCAGTGAAAGGGTAATACAGGCTCTCA